TTGCAACAATATATATGGTAGCAAGAAATGACAGTAGTGAGGTACAATTACAGTAACAGAGACTGCATGTTCTGTATCACTAATACGTAATGTCATGCAAGCATTAACTTAAAAGAAATATGATTGAACTTAATTCAAAATGAATAGGCTCTATGCACAGCTAGAGTTTTAAAGCCAACAACAAACTAATGGGTGAAAGCTTAATGTGACTATTTTCAATTTCACAGGGTTGTTTTTACAGAATCGATGTTGTAATGTAATTACAATACATTCAGTTAAATAAACGTAAGCATTCATTTACTGTAGTTGTTCAAGCGTAAAACAAGACGAAAGACCGTTGTAACCACTAGCGCCGTCAGTAGCAACAGGCTAGTGCAGAAATTCCATAAAAAATACTGAAGTAAAATAAACTGTCATGTTTTAAAGACATGACGGTGGAAAAGGAATTTAATGCAGTGCTTCTTGTCTGATCTGAGACCCACTTCATGTTGTATATCTAACAGGCAGTCAAGAACGCTGATTTTTAAAGAAATCAGATCTTAAACATGACAGTTTTGTAATGGAAAGACAGTTCACCTAATAAATAAGGGACTAAGCCCAAGGAAAATGAATGTTGTAAAATTGTTTGTTGCAAAGCAACGTGAATTAAAGATAAAATAAAAGCATTATTTATTGGGTGGTATAGATTTGAGATGATTCTCACATGGTGTCTTGGACATCTGAAGTGCCCTATATTTTCACCATGCAAAAATATGTGGATGTACACACAGAATCCACTTATTAAAATGAATTAGTTGTATAATGCAGTATGTCACAGATGAAGAAGTCAAAAGCTTGTGATCATTTCATTGTCTGTCATCTCATTATATGAGGACACGAATACAAGAGCTTCATCATCAGAGCTGCTTTGACAGTTTCTTTACCAGGATGTTACAGTTTTATGTGTGAAAATAAACTTTACTGTCATATGAAACACTCACAGCCTCTGAAAATATTAGAAAATAAAATATTTAAATTGTTGCCAGATTTAACATGCTAGTAAATGAGAATGTGTCTGTAAATGCGGCCAACAGGTTCTCTCCAACAGCATGGTACACTATAAGTTATTATCAAGAGACACATTCTCTACTAAGGGTCTGGGAGCATTTATCTTCTGAGACCTTCACACTCATTAACCAGGCTGGGCCAAGAGAAGAATTTAGTCAAGTGATAAGCCCACTTGTTGAATAACAGCCTCAAGTCTTTTCCTCCTTTTTGCTGTACACAGATAACAATGGAATGTGTATGAGTACAGGAGGGCATTTCATGGGACTTACTAACACAGCATTTGGCTCTCAGGAGACATCATAGGGCAACAGAGGGGAGAAAACAAATCTGAGGTATCAGACATAAATCTGATCCTGCAAAACTCCCAATGTACTATTAATTCCTTGTTTGGGTAGTTGAGGAATAATTAAAATTCCATTAGAGATCCTCTGGAGTACATTCTGCAGTAAAATTATAATGATCTCTTATAAGTTATTAGAGGCTTGACGGTCTAATATTTCAAAACGGTTAAACTACACGTCTCATTTTTTCCATTCCAGTTCAACGTAAAAAGCAACAACAAATGTCAGAAAAGCAGTAAAGTGTTACAAAAGTGCATGTCAGACAATATTCATTCATTCATTTTCTTGTCGGCTTAGTCCCTTTATTAATCCGGGGTCGCCACAGCAGAATGAACCGCCAACTTATCCAGCAAGTTTTTACGCAGCAGACGCCCTTCCAGCCGCAACCCATCTCTGGGAAACATTTACACACACACACACATTACGGACAATTTAGCCTACCCAATTCACCTGTACCACATGCCTTTGGACTGTGGGGGAAACCGGAGCACCCGGAGGAAACCCACGCGAACGCATGAGAACATGCAAACTCCACACAGAAACGCCAACTGAGCCGAGGATCAAACCAGCGACCTTCTTGCTGTGAGGCGAACGTGCTACCCATTGCGCCACTGCATCGCATGTCAGACAATATATACAGGAAATTATAATTAGTAAGCAACAATGATTAAAAATCCTTACTTACTCAAGACTTACTTACTCAAGACTTAAATAGATGATTTAAGGTGCTGTATGCAAGTTTTTGACTCTTCTAAAGCACAAAAATACCATAATATGTTTCCAGATATTTAAAAAACATGCCACGTGAACATACTTGTTTATCTGAAAAACGGATAAATGTCTGGAATGTCTGTCTCAGTTTTGGTTCGTTTAATCTGCCAAATGCCAGTTTAGCCAATTATATTACAGCACTCCGGGTTGCCCTATTGGAAAACCACAAATTTCAATCATTCATTCAGGAAGGCTCTCAAAGCATGCGTGTGTGACTGAAATGTGACCTCCAGTGGACAGTAGCAGACTCCGAAAAGAGACGCAGATTCAGAGTTCCACATGAGGTTATTAATTAGCAAGTAATAAATAAATAAATATTACGAACAAAAAACATTATGTGGGTAGGTTACATTGTAACCGCGTGTCTTAACAACACGCCACATGACAAAATTTGCAGTGATGAGCAATTAGTACCAGATAAAACATGTCAGAAATTTAAATACAGCCTTTCAGAAGTAGAATATGCACTCACTCACGAAAAGACGCCATCTAAGAGAATCACAGATGAGTCGCTGACGCCTGTAAGATGTTTGGCTTGCTAAATATCTGGACCTATCGACAATTCAAATCATGCCATGTGAAATGTGTTCTGATTGAAAATGACATCCGCGATCACGTACAGCCAATGAGAGAGCAGCCTTCATGGGTATTTTCCAGCGGCAGGAAGTTAAAAACACTCATTTTCAGTTTATTTAGACCCAAGAAATGAGGGGAAAAAAATATTAATTTTGGCAGGAGCACCTGTGTCTGTTTGACGTGTCATCTGAGCAATACCACAACCGGGTTGAAAAATAAAAAAAAGTTGAGGAGAAATTGCTGATTCTCTTCTAGGGCAGGTGCGCAAAATAAGTACATTTTCTATTGCACTAAAGGCTTTAAATGTAGTTAATAACGAAATATAGAATACTTGACCTCCTATTGTTTCCATGTCACTTCTTGCGTGTGTTTGATTGTGAGACGTAGGTTGGGCAAAGTTGTCGGCGATTATTCCTATTGTAAAGTCATGCAGTGTGAATTCCTTGTCGTCAAACCATTCTACAGTGTAAACACAGCACAGGCGGAATGCTATCCCAGATAGTCATGCATTGTGAAAACATCTATGACATGAATACTTTGAAAAGGATGCAGTCTGAACTCGGCATTACATAATAATTAGGCCATTGAAGATGATTTAATTTACTAGAATGAATTAGGTAATTTAGAATGAACCAAATTATTAAACTAAATTATAATTAATCAGACCACTATTAAAACTCAAATAATCAATTCACTAAAGGGACTTGTATTTCATGAGAGACGACATTTTAAGAGAGTGTGTTTAATTGCAAAATGTACATCCAACAAATGTAAACTTAGTAGTTGATTTTATAGTTATTTCCCAACACTGCTCTGTTTTCAGCACAAAAAATGTACTAGACCCACAGGTTCTTTAAATGACATCAATGATGCTAATGAATCTCAAGCCTTTAGAAAGAGACAAGAGGATTTGTTTCTCTTTGTGTTCTGGAGTACCATTCGGCATAAAACGCAAGGCCCTAATTATGAGCTCAGGAGCATTAAGTAGACTAGTGAGGGGGAAAGAGAAAAACAAGCGGTGGTATTAAACACAAGAGTGGTTATTTAAAAGAAGGAGAAAAGAAGAGAGAAAAAGGCAGAACATTGTGTTGTAAAGTAACAACTCTTGTGTTGTAAAGTAAGTTTCGATTGTACACTAGTAAAAATGGAATTCTCATCAGGAGTTTGGCGTGTCTCTAGTTTTCACATGCAAAACATCTTTTCAAGCTTAAATTCCTAAGCTTTCATGTTGTCAGCGAGGGGGCAGACATGACTCAGCTGATGGCGAGGAATCGTGGGGAGTGTCTTTCTCAAACATTTTGCCTTGCCAGAAACCTTTAAAAATACCCAACCAGCTGAATCGAACTGCAAAACTTTGATAAGGACAACATGCTCCCACGTTTTACTTAAGCTCCTCGTAGAATGCTGACTTGTGTGATTTGCTTTTAGGGTAGTGTTAAAAGATTTTTGGCAAGTTTAAGAGAGAACTGACTTGTTATATTAGATAAATTATACATGTAAATTGGCTGGCCACTTTTTTAGGTACAAATGTTTAAATGCCAATCGATCTATTTAGCCAATTACATGGTAAAGTTTAGATAGGATACATGGCCAGCCGGAAGTGCAATATGCACATCAACATAGCAGAACTTTTTTATGACACTAGCAATGGTTAATAATTTTACAGTACTGCAAAAGTTAGGTTTAGGGTTGGGGTGTTAAACAATTAAATAATGCTTCAGTAAATTTAACACTGAATGGATTGTTGTCAGAATAGTTTCAAGCTATTTATTAATAATGCATCCAGGTTGTTATTTGATTCTGGTTAAAAATCCTCAGATCTCAGAAATAATAGCTAATCATATTATAAACAGATGACAGAAAGCATGTCGAATTGTTAAGTAGTATAGGTCTCTGGGGTCATCACTTTTTTTTGTTTTATGACGAAACATTTACACCAGTTTTACTTTATACACCTGCTTTATTCTCTGATATAATATATTTTGGTAAGCTGTTAGAAAAAAAGTATCTACATTCTTTATTATGTTTTTGACCTTGAGAAGTGTGCACCAAGCCTCCCTGTGGTTTTTATCCTCCCATCTTTCTTATCAAGTTTACGACTGAAAGTCTAAAACTTCAAACCAAACTTTAAAGATGAGAGCACAATATTGGCTCTCAGTGTGTGGCAGAAACCAGGTCGATATCCACACCAGAACTCCTGCAACGACGAGGCCGCCTTAACCACACTATCTGAATGTCTATATGACCTTTTTGTTTTTGTTGCAGGGTCAAGAAGGAGGTGATGAAAAGCCTGGCTCTGATACCCTGAGCCCTCCTCAGACGCAGCCTGGTGTACGTCACAGCTTTGTACAAGAACACTTCCAGGCACAATACAAGTAAGTGGGCTTTGAACTCTATACACTTTATTTAGGGTTAGGGAGATTTTCAAGCTTTTAGAAGAAGTCTCTTGTGTCTGCTAAGGCAGCATTCACTTGACTGAAATAATTTCTGTTTTAATATAGTTGATTTATTCCTTTGATGGCAAACTGAGTGCATAACATGATTTTTCAGACTTAAGTTAATTATGATCATTACTTTATTACAACTTGACCTTCTTTAACATTTTAAGGGTTGTTTAAACCATGAAACTAAACATAATGTAACAATACTGCACAATTAAGTAGCACAAATTGGGCTTTTCTTTAAATTGCAGGCTGATATCCCTATTTTTCATAATTGTGTCTTTTAAATGCAAGTTTACATCATATCCCACTAGACAAAAAAAGTCACAATTTCAAGGAGGTGTTTTGGCAAGAGTGGACTCAAATGTACGGAAAGCAGTATTTATTGTCAAGACTGGGGAAAACCTATAAAAGTAGGGCAGGGCACACAGCAGGCAAACAGGCATGTGGATATTAGAGAAGATCCAGATCCAATGGCTGTAGTGTGGACCATGCAGATAAATAAGCAATCTAAAGACTGCCACTAGGAAGATGGCTATTGAAGCAGGATACTTGGGACTCACTTATGTACTAGTTCCGTGCAACGTATTTAATATATTGCATCACTAATCAGTCATGAACAGTGCTTGACATTCACTTTTTCGATTATCAACCTCTGTGGCTAGTAGATTTCCAAGGTTACTAGCCACTCGCCATTTTCACTAGCCACAATTTTGTTACCAAATTTATCTCTGACCACACCAAAAATAAATAAATAATTTTTTTTTGGCCACAAATGTTAAATCTGTAAAAACAAACAAACTATAGCTGTATACATGCACCTTTTAATTTAACAAAACTTTTCTTTAAAAAAATTATTGACATTTAAAAAAAGAGCTTTTGTCATTTACTAAAATGCACAGTTATCTGCCCCTGCTAAAGGTCCCAGATCACCAGTTAACCACACATGAATGGCGAGTTAATCTCATTTTAAAGCAATGTTATTGAAAAGGAGGTTAATTAAACCATATTAACAAAAATAACTGTAAGCTAAAGAAAGCAGGTAAAAAAAACAGTGTGTGTGAAAATAAAAGGAGGATCTTAGGTTTGTCAATAACCTGTTTAAAGAATGATTAAAGCGAAAGCAGCAACCGCTGCTGCTTACAAAAGGATATATATTTTTTTAAATCTTGAGCTCTTGAAAGCTGCAGGACTGTGGATGCACGATCATCGCTTTTTGTTCAGTCTATTTGAAAGAGAACCGTTGCATTTCCTCTAGGCACACTTGCTTTGGGCAAGTAAATGGGAGCGCATACGCTTTTTAACACTCAGGCGCATTACATCACCTGTGCGCGTGAGTGATCATCCTCTCATTCGGTATATTTACCTGCTATCTTTTGCTCATGCAAACACAATTCGTATTGTCAGTCATGCTGCTTCTCGTTTCCAAGATCACATTTGCAGGAATATTGGGCCATCCTCATTGTCGAATCATGCTTTTAAGAAAACTATAAACTTAAAAGCTTCATACATGATAGTTACTGAAGAGTTGTGTTGTTAACACCTACTCTTGAGTCTTTCAAGCTCTCAGACATAGAGTAGGTTAACTGCCTTAACCAGTAAGATATTTTACCAGCAACTAGAATTACTTATAAGACCATGCTGGCTGACAAATTTTTCCACTTAGTTTTGTTGGTGAACATAATGGTCATGATGGACCAACAGGCAGCATAAACATCTTCAGCTAGCATGGAAAGTCATGTTACATTGGTCTTTTTTTAGCATCAGTAGAGAAACTGATGAGAGAATGATGACTCATGACCAGTAACTTTCCAGATCTGGCAGCGCCAGCTCGCTGTGACCTGAGATGAATCAGTTTATGTTCACTCCTGGAACACGGTTCCTTCTTTTCCCCCGGTCCAGCCAATCATCTGTGTTAACGAATATTGATAAAGCCAACAGATTTGGGATGCAGCATATGTCCAACTGCTGCAAGCTGTTCTTAGACAGAAGATGCAAGCATCACCATCAAGCAACTCCGATCAGGCCAGATGGTTTGGTTGAACACGAGGGATCTCCATTTGAAGTCTCCATCAAAAAAGCAAAGTCTATGATTCAGTGCAACATTAAAGTTCTAAAATAAATACCTTCGGTCTCTTTCTGCTAAAGCAAAACTTACCATCAGATAGAATCGCATTATAGACAACTCAAACCTTTCTTGACCTTTTTAGGGTTGTGCTACACAAAAGATGAAGAGGAAATATATGTTTTTGGATGATGTGTGCAATACTTTAACTGAAATATGAATTAAAAAATATAGTATATTACAAATCACAATTAGGAAACAAATGTGTAATTTTGTTGGTCAAAAACATTCTACAAACTACATTGCAGTTTTGTTGCCCAAAAATGTGGTATTTCAGTCATTTAGGTGCCAAGAACAAAATGCTAATGTTGAAGGCATGTAATTTCTTAAATAAAAACAAAAAACAAAAAAAATGTTCGATATTACTTCTAAGTTTAGTTCTAATTGTTAATTTATATATATATATATATATATATATATATATATATATATATATATATATATATATATATATATATATATATATTAGGGCTTTCAAATGATTTAAATAATTAAGGCGATTAATCACACTTTTTTGTAATTAATTATGAAACGAAATTAAGCATGATAATCATAATTTATCACAAAATGCCGTATTAATACAGAAATAAAAACATAGCCATGTAAGTGCCATTTGAATTTCAAAACAATCCATGCCAAAAACAAACAAAAATGCTTTCCATGTTGGATTCTTTGTGGACTACAAACACACACGTACACACAAACACACAGACACACAGACAATGTACGCAGCGGTGAGCGAGAGGGATCCCTTCAGATTTATCAACAAGCACGAGTTCTGAACAAGTTCATCAAATTTGCTTAAACTAAGCGTTCTAAAGTATGGCTGTATTTCACAAGCAAAGATTTTGACACATCAATGTGAAGCAGACACTACAAAAGGGGGGAAACACGTCAATCTCAATGAAACATTTGAGGGCTCATGGACGCAGCTTAAAATAGGAGAAATGGGCTGTCTTTGACAGCTTGCGAATTCATCTGGCATTTTCATTCATATGGACACCAAATAAATATTTTTTTGATTTAGATAATACTGATTAAGAGTCAACCATGTAAAAAGCGATTTTTGATTACCTTAAAGGATCATGTGAGTCCCAAAATGGTTTTTCTTTCCGTTCGCCATGCGGTATCAAATTCCATTAAAAAGTCCTGAATGAAAATATGCTGAATGAGAGTGAACTGCTAAACTGCCGTTAAAATAATCTAAATATTAAAAAATGAAACACCTGAAATTGCATGAAATCTGGAGGAAATGCAGGATAGCCTGGTAATGCGACATTAATTGTTTTATACTGAAACTTTCCTTCTAAAAGGAAAGTTTTAGAATGTAAAAAACATTCTAAAATGTAGGCCTTATCCATATTTCTTTGCACGTTAAACACACGCAGGACCAGAGCAAGCTGAACTGGCACTCTAGGCAAACGGCAATCACAGTATCCAAAGGATTCGCTCACCACTCTTGTTGCCTCTATGGACACGCTGGCCCTGAACACACGTTATATACTTCACATTACATAAATATATATTTTACATATATTCATTTATTACATTTTTTTTTGGCTTAGTCCCTTTTTTTAATCTGGGGTCGCCACAGCGGAATGAACCACCAACTAATCCAGCCTATGTTTAATGCAGCGGATGCCCTTCCAGTTGCAACCCATTACTGGGAAACACCCATACACACTCATTCATACACATACACTACGGACAATTTAGCTTACCCAATTCACCTATAGTACATCTTTTTGGTAAATTTGTAAAAATTAGCTTAATCGATTTGTGTTGGGATAACATGAAGATTGAATACATGAATTGTGTGGAACCCATCATCTTTAACAGTGTAACTCTGTAAGGTTGCTCATACATAAATTATTACATTTTAAAATGTTGTCAATACATATTATATGCCTATTAAAAAAACTCCATAAAAATACATATAAAAACAAATCTCGCTGACCATACATTCCCTCTAAGTATTTCCAGCAGGTAAAATATTTTCGTGCAGTTTTTGCAGATGCGGTTCTGCCCAGTTCAATTCAATTCAATTCAGCTTTGTTTGTATAGCGCTTTTACAATGTAGATTGTGTCAAAGCAGCTTCACATAAATGGTCACAGTAACTGGAACAGTGTGGTTCAGGTTTTAGTGTTTAAGTTCAGTTCAGTTCAGTTTAGCTCAGTTCAGTGTGATTTAATCATTACTGAGAGTTCAAACACTGAAGAGCAAATTCATCGATGCGCAGCTCTACCAATCCTGAACCATGCGAGGCAGTGGCGACAGCGGAGAGGGAAAAAAAAACTTCACCTGATGGGAGTGAAGAAAAAAAACCTTGAGGGAACCAGACTCAGTTGGGCACGACCATTTTAATTTCTCCGCTGGCCAAAAGTCTTTTGCAGAACTTCTTTCGCCGTGGTTTAGGCTGGAAGATGGCCTCAATGAAGACTCGTCTGTCCCTGGAGCGTCGCTGGAATCAGACTCATGTTCTCCACTCCCCACGACCATCAGCGCAGCAGCAACTCAGTATATGGCCTGGTCCCGGATATGGAATCCTTGGGATCATCACGTCGCTGGTCTTGGGTCCAATCAGTGACTCCGCATAATCTGAGGACCTCGGGATGAGTATCCCCAGGTGAAAATAGAGAATAAAGAGAATAATTAGCGTAGCTGCTGTTCATAGTGTATATAAGCAAGATGTTGAAGCCAGTGTGGAACCCGCTAGGTGATGCATTGAGTGTATGCTTTACTAAACAGATAGGTCTTTAATCTAGTTTTGAACTGGGAGAGTGTGTCTGAGCCTCAGACGTTATCAGG